TTTTTTTAACATTTTCTAATGGTGGTGTGCCTCGTGATTTTTTTCATGAAAAAAGTGTGCCTTTGCAAAAAAAAGGTTGAAAAACACTGGCCTAGGGATCACCAGATGTAGCTCCCTAACCACCAGAACATGTACTGCTTTCTTTGCTAAATCTGCTGGGATGGGCAGATGAAATTGGGAGAGGTGGTCCCTCAGGTAACCTTATTCTATGCCATAAAAGTATGTACACACCCACCCACATTAATTGAAGGCTTGATCATCTAATTGTCCTAAACACTGTAGAAAACACTTTGTATTATACAATATATGAATACAGATGTATGTTCCTGTGCATATATATGTGAATCCACACACACATTATTATAGTTATAATCATCATCATCCCAAATTAAATCTAGATCAACATTGAGAAGGTCAACCATGTCACTAAGAGACTACGTAGACTTGAAGATACATAATCTATTGTCAGTTTCACTATATCTTTAATAAGGAGGCTTTTTTTTAGCTATGGATAGGTCCTATGAAATCTAGTCAAAACATTGATTATAATTTATCTCAGGGACATCTTTGTTAAATTTATTGGACTGGTGTTTATGGGATTTAATTTACATTATCCCTCAATATATCTTTTGCACTTAAAATTTCTTTAAGAGCAGTTTTTTTCTTTAAGAAGGAAACAAGACTTTTGTCTTGGCCATATTTATTTTAAAGAAATACATTTAAAATACATGGAAAATAACCCCAGACTTACATCTTCGGTGCAATAAAACAACAGTCCATTAGGCTGTAAAGTTCGGAAATTAAAGCCGCCTTCAAACACATGAAAAGGAGAGATTTTCTGGCTGGATGCGATATAGCTTTCACCATTAAAATATGCTTTGCGGGACATCTGTTCATCAAATAAACAAAACGAACATATAGGAAGAGTAGAGAGCAAAAGATGAAAATAACAATAGCAGGAAGAATCCAGGGGGTCAACTATCACATTCCAAAATGCCCAGTGATTCCGATGTTGATGTGTGATCATCACAGAGCAGTGAGTGTGAACTCTTTATCACACCATAACAGAGATTCACTCTTGACAACCTCTTCCAGAGTTCACCAAACACTGCTGCTCTATAATTATTTCCTTTCAGTGGGACTCACACATCAATATTGTTGGAAAGAAATTAGCTTCTACAATAATGGCACTGAGGAAATTGTGCCTCAATGTGTCCCATTGAATGAGGTTCAGATAATACTCTTGGAATCTCATACACAGATTTGGAGGATGTGCACCTTGTGTTTCTTTTCTCCTTCCGTAGAAGTTAATAACTCAATTGGAAAATCAAGCAGCTTCAGGAAGACCTTAAATCCATTTCCAATCTCATGGCACATAGAAAGTTAGGTAGAAGAATACGGTCTAGCTGACTTCTTGCTAAATGAATTGTATTGGTCCTCTTAAAAATGGAGTGGCCTATGATGATCACTCTATGATGAATAATAGTGCTATTACTATTGCTGTTGGTGCCATAATTGGGAGTACTACCGGTATTATTAGAAATATTAATATTTATTTAGCCTACTGTCAATGTCGCTTATAGGAAAGTCTTGGTAGATTGGATAGTTGAAATATGTATAGCTCAGTGCTATCAAGATATCTCTATTTGAATCTAGGTCAACTATTCTTAAATAATTTGCAAAAGCTACTTCTATTGACAACAGTGACAAAAGTGAGAATTTGACTGTAGAACTTAGGAAACTTTATACCACTCCTACGTACTATGATTTTGAAATAAAACAAACAAAAAAAAAGCTTGCATTCATTTGATGTTCACTTAAAAAAAATGCTTTGTGGGCCTTTTGCTCTCATAAGATGGGGATGCCAAATTTTCATTTTGTCATCCTGTTATAGTGAACTGTTAAAGACCATACTTGAAGTACAGCATGCAATTGAAAATAATCTAGCTTAAAATCTGATCTGTGGAGTGAAAAAAGACAAGACATAAATATTTATTAAAGTGTCAAAACATCTGACTGTATAAAATCTATCACACTGGTTTTCTTTCAAAGATGTATTCTACATTCAATAACAGATACCACTTCCCATTATTTTACTCAAAAGAAATAATATTGTATTAAGAGAGAAAATTGCTTTAAGAAATGTTACCTTTTTATTCCCTAATAATACAAATTGGTGAAAGAAAACAAACATATTCACAATAGAACACAAAAAAGATCATGAAATAAGATTATATATATTTAAAAGCAACAGAAAACCAACGTAGAAAATAGAGTTTAAAAGTAAGTACTACACTTACAAGTGATTCTTCAGGACAGCCATAACCAATTCCCAAGGTACCTGGCTCTTCCAACAAGTTGAAGTCCTTCTTTTGGAACTGGAAACCTTTCATACAGCCCGTAAAGGGTATACTGATAGCCAGGTGTGAGCTGACACCACTGTTAAGGCAAGTGAGATGTTGAGCGTCAAGGGTCATGGCTAGTGGATTCTAAATACAGAATGCCAATGCAAAATAAAACAGTAGACTGCACTGTTGAATGGGAAAGAAACAACATTTGAGCAGATTCCCTCATCCTCTAGATTCAGCCTGAGAAATACAAATAACCCTAAAGCGATTCATTGGAGGAGGTTTCCAATTGCTTAAGGCAGAAGTACAATCATCCACCATAAAGCAGTTAAGTGAAGTAATAGTGTTTCCACGTTATTACTGTGAATAGCCAGTGGCAGGTCACTGAATAAAGGGCACAGTACCTCTGCTTCACAGCCATATTCTGATGATGCGGTAAATGACAGAGGACAACCTTATCTATTGTTGGTGGGAAGTTTCACTCTCTGGCAGTTTATAGCATTTTATATCAAGAACATTTCTTGCAAAGTGTCCAGACTTTGCACAGAATCTTGTCATGATGCTCATGGAAATCATGGCAGTGACAGTTATAATGATGCATTGCCTTCTTCCAGAGGAACTGTAATTGGGCATTTTCATATAATGGAAACAAAGCTTGCAAGTGCATTTATTTTTGGGTGTGATTTTTTTTTGAAGGATCTGAAAACGTTGTCTTCCACTTGCAAATGTAGATTAAAAAACAACAGTTATAATCAAAGCCCAAATACTCCACCCCGCAAGAGCTGAAAACAAGCAGTATACAACAGATCAGAAAATGATGTCTCCATATGAGGAAAGAAGATTACGTAAAATGACTTTATAATAGACTACAGTTAAATATGCCTCACTTGGATGGAGCAGAATGACTTAGTAAAATGCTGAAGTATCTTTTCTCAGACTAGATGGCCTCCAAATGGGTGGACCTCAATTATTAGATGTTCTCTAATAATTTGTCATTTGCTTTGTCACCATTACAGAATAATACACAATATACAAATTCACATCATTATATGCATTATGTAATTTCTAAACGAACATCAATATGCAAATGGAAAAAAAAACTTTTAAATGATTATAAACCAACCTAGATTTTAAAATCTCGGTAGGAGCTCCTCCTATATAGACATCACTAAATGGCATGCTTTTCTTTTCATTTTCCATACTTTTTATATGTCTCCTATCCACTACCAAGATCATTTTCTTGGAATTATGATATATGACAGATATCTGAAATGAAGAAGAATAAAGGTAAAAGACATAGCATAGAATCCAGTGAATTGTTTAATTTATAATATATCTTTCATGCAGGAGCAAAAAGCAATGTGCATTCTTCCCCTTTTATTTTCCTAACAACACCACCCATCCACAGAGCTTGCACTGAGGGAAAGTAACTGGCTCAAATCTGACCGTGGGAGCTTTTGAGTCTGAGGCTCGACTAGAACCTTGGTTTTCCTGTTTGAAGTCAAATGCTTTAACCATTATACCTCTGGCCTTTTCGTCTATATCACACAACAATATGCTGATGCCTTATAATGCTTTACAGAGAAGTCTGTAAAATCAGAACAATTTGTAGTGAGAGATGATGGAAAGAGGAAAACACATTTTGAGGGGAGCTTTCTTCTCATGTTTTTGCAGGTAGGTCCAGGTCAATAACACTGAAAGGATGAGAAGGAACAAAAAAAGTCTTAAAAGCTCCATTACTGTCAGCTGTTCAAGGTAGCTCAGGTCAAGAAGTAGAGGATTCCAGGAATGCTATTTTATTCTTATAAAATATAATAATAGAATTTGAAAGCCCATCTACAACCTTCACTGCTCCCTTTTAAGGACAAAGTGGGACTGTGCTTAATCTTTTTCTTACATTTTCTATTTTCTCAGAGATGAACTATTTTATCAGTTTCACTTTTTTCTCAAGATCAAGATTGCAGTATATCTATCTATCTATCTATCTATCTATCTATCTATCTATCTATCTATCTATCTATCTATCTATCTATCTATCTATC